TTGGAGGGAAGAGCAGGCTGAGCATAATAGCTGCAGGTCTGACCCTGGTAGAAACAGCTTCTGAATGGAGATTTATTTTTCAAATATCATCTTGCTTGCTTCTGAGACAGGCCAAACACACAGACAATAGCAAACAGTGGTGTCCAACCATGCATCTGTTATCATTTAGAGTGCCAGAGCTGCTGCTTGATGATGCACATGGTGAGATTTCATGTGAAATTGATCATTTGCGGATGTGCAAAAGGCGCTGATTGTATGCATATAATGATGTTTTTAGACAATTATATATTTTTGCTGCTGTGCTACTAGCTTTTTTTTTCCAAATTGGAGTTTTTGAGTCAACATATCTGAAGCATTAATCAAAAACTTGAGAAAATAAAATAGCCTCAGAGGTCACTATCGACCCAAACGATAGATGTGTGTCTGGTATTTGCTCAAGCGTTGTTTTTCAAATGTTTACTCCTGTAGTGCTTTAAATCAAATATGTAGAGAGCTGGGAATCTTTGAATAGCTGTAATCAACATTTCATCAATTTTGCACTTGTCAGAGGGGAGCTATTGTTCATGAAACAAATGCACATTGGCAGAAGAACAAGGAAGGATGCATGTTTTCCCAGGTCACTTTGCTCTATTGGAAATAAATACATTTGACTGCAAGTAACTTAATCATGGTGCCTGCAGAGTGGAATCATGATGAGAGGGGGTGTGGTGTACTTGTTTCCAGGGGTATCCGCTTTCATACTACCTGTGCACTGTTAATTCCATTGCAGAGCTCACACGGAAAATTCAGCAAGAGGGACAGAATCATCGGCTTATCAGCTTTAGCCAAATGTCACTCAATGAGGTGGACAGTCATCAGAGAAAATGTTCCATTTTGTCCACCCAAGTGTCACTAATTGACGGATGCCTCCAGAGTGAGCTGGACTGCAGTTCGGCTGCTGCCTGCGGGCCAAATGTGTAAAGCACCAAGGATTTTAGCACTGCTTTTCACAGGCATAAGGGAGATGCCATGTGAGGTCACAGAGGGGTAAATATAGCCCAGAGAAAGTGTTAAAGACCTCGGTCTGGGTCCAGGCTCATGTCAGATGTGCCGTCCTTTCCATGCTCTGGAGGGCAGGGAAACTAAGCATATCATTGTGTATCAGTGTTGGTGCACCAACGAGGGTAGGACAGGTGAAGGGCTGTAGTCGGTTATAGGCTTTTACAGCCATGCAGTTCAGTCTGTTCATATAGACATGTTTGATTTATCTTATCTTGAGTGCTGTGGTGGCGTCCCTCCCTGCTAACAGTCAGTAGGTTGCCTCTGAAGTGGAAGCGTGAACAGTTACCACAATCAGTGCAAATGTCACCTAGTATCATCTCCAACTTGCTAAATGCTAATTACATCTTGCTTGAGTCACAGTGTACCATATGGCAAGTGATAAGATTTATTATTTTTTTTACAAAATTCTTATCTCAGCTTCACTGCAGACGCCCTGAAAAATTGAAGTAAAGCCTCGATTTTGAACAGATGTGCACATCAGAGTTTGATTCATTGCGCGACTGTGTGCGATTGGCATCCTCTGCTATCTAGACTGCCGGTGCTCATACTGATCTGCGTGTGCCGTGGATAATATTTTGTCTTTAGTGGGGATGAATACAAGCCTGGATAAGTGAGTCTGCTGAATAAATGATGTTTATAATCATAGCCCTGGGTGTCAGCTAATGTGCCTGGGGAGACGTGGGTGGGGAGTGGGGGGATGGGAGATGAGTTCCAATCATTTGTCCAAGCAAGCCCCTCCAAGGCAGATGATAATGTGGGTCTAAACTGCAGCACGGGTGGGTAATGGGATTGTGAGCACGCTGGTCTCCTGCTGGTTAAGCTCCCCTGATAGCACCACTGACCTCCTCCCCCCCGATAGCTGGGAGAGGGATGCACAGCGCGGGCTCCATTAGGTGTGTGTGTGTGTGTGTAGGTTGCAGGTATCATATATGATACAAAAGGGCAACAGTAGATGCGGTGTTGAGATGGTGAAGAGGCAGGAGCTGTACACATTTCCCCAGCCAGAACAAATAAAAAAAATTTTAAAAAGGGAGGACGGTTCAGGAACGAAGGCCGAGGAGGGGTCATATTTGCTGTGATTAAACTTCTGTGAGATTTATTAAAGCTCATGGAGGATTCTTGTCCTGGCTGCAACAGTAGGAAGGCAAAATTATAAAGAATTTAAATATTGAAGCAGCAAGCTCACCATTCAAACACTGTTGTGAGGGAGTTTTTGTCACCCTCCCTGTCATCTCTCTGTTGGTTGGTTTCAACTCGTGACAGTTGTTCCTCTTTGTGTGTGCAGCTTGCCTCACTTGGTCATGATTTTCCAGACAGTTCTTCTTGACATATTGAGTAATTTGGCAGTTTTTTCTGTTTGGACACAGATGATTTGTCCTCTTTGGAGCTCTGTTGGTTGCCTCATGTTGCAAACTGCCTGATTGCCAGATCTCTTCAATGGCTGACATATGCTGTTAATAAGCATTCAACTGAACATGACAACACCTTCGCAAATGAGATTAATTCAAAGTGAAAGTCATTTTTCTTGAACTTGAAAGGTCATGTCATTCACCCTGAGTGCCCTTGGCCTTTAATGACAAGATTGCTTTCTTGGGCTCTCTTTACCTCCATAAGCGCCTTTAGATGTCAAAATGTGCAGAACTAGAAGATCAACCTAAAACCAGCTTAACTTACTAAAAATTAAAATAAACTGACTCTGAAGATGAGTCCTTTTAGCCCTCGTCAGGCACGGTCGCTGTACTTCCAAACAACAAATAACTTCAGCCGTAAATTTTTGTGTTGGGCTGAAGTGTGCGACAGCTTTAAAAAAAAAAAAAAAAAAGGAAAGCCTCAGAAGCAGAGTGCTATCTAAATGAGGCATAATAGATGTGAGAGTGACATAACCATGTTGAAGGGATGTAAGCAGTCTGACAGGAACATTGCTTCTAGCAACTCCTGTGTTGCATTAGTGATGATTTTCCAGGAGGCGCTCACAAAGAGTCTTCAGAGTGTTCTCCTGAGCCCCAGCCAAACCCGGAAGAGCCCCCAAAACAAGAGACCATGTGCACACGGGCGAGCACTGCCTGACAGTGCTTCACACGTTCCCACCCTCAGCACTGGCCAAATCTACCCCCCACCCCCCACTTCTAAAAAAATATATAGGTCATTTTGGTTCTAAAAATGGTTGCCTCTCCCTGGGGCTTGCCAGAGCATGAAATAGACTTTACATCACGTTAGCCAAGCAAAAGCAACCAAGAAACTTTCTTTTTTTTGTCGTTGCTCATTTTTCATCCCCTTTTGTTGCTGTAATCTAACATATGGCGGGCTCTCTCACTCTCCCCTCCTCTCTTTCAGTTTATGACCTGAATAAGATATCAGCAGTTTGCCAGGTTTGGAATATGACAGGCGAGGCTAAAGTCATGTAGAGATTTAGATAATATGGTTGCGGAACACTTTACAATGCCTTTCCACCTCTGCCTTTCAGACTTCCCTCGTGCTGATAAGCTGGAATTCGGGGGTGGATTTCAAAATGCTTTGGATTTGCAGAATGCTTGCTGATATGACGAAGGCAGTCACATGACAGATGGCACAATCGCTTCCTACCTGTTTGTAATGCTACCCCCATCCCCTCCACCACTGGTAGATGAAATAGAACTAAATCCACTCTTCCTTTGGGGTCGTGGATGCAACGCTGCAAAATACGCAGAAATAAGCCGCTCTCGCCTCCGCTGCGGCTTTGACAACTTCGACTGCAATTTATGGAGGCGAACTCACTTGCAGCAAATTGGATAATGCAGCGAGGAAATTTCTGGGGTTGCATTTGCTGTAGTTTAGAGTTTACACATTTCCAGATGCTTTTCCTCCACAACCATATTGTCTTTTTAAGTTTGAAAAAACAAAAAAAACTAAAACATTTCCACCTCCTTCCTCTCTGTGTCCAATGCATAAACTCCCCAGTGGCTGGCCCTTGAAATTGCCTCATGTTTATTTAAACTCAGGGCGGCAGTGGAGTGCCTGGTGCCCCATTCCTATTTTCTGTGGTGTTTTCTTATAGCCAACCAACCCCGGAGCCATTCATCAGCCGGGGCTAAGTGTAGCTACAGTGCAGAGGGCTAAACAGCACTTCACCACAATGAGTGTGACATCAACTCTCCACACAAACCAGTGGGTGTGTCAAAGAGAAGCACAATTACAGAGGAGACGGAGAAGGGAAGAGGTGGAGAAATGACCATGGAGAGAGAGAGGGAGACAAAAAAGAGACAAAAAGGAGAAGCAGAGAGTGTCAGTCATGTTGCTTCTAATTTTGGTTCTGGCTTGAGCGCTACTTTGTTCCACCACAGGCTTTTATGCTACGAGCATGAGCTGGCTCAAGACAGACAGAGGGAGACCAAAGAGCTTTTGAATTAGCAAAGACCACACTCACCAAAAATACCATACACACACGCACACACACACACACACACAGAAATAATAAGTAGGAAAAGAGTGTTGAAATAAAAAAAAAAATTCAAGTGGTGGTGAGTGTTGTTGCATGTGTGCCAGCATACAGTAATGTTTATCTTGTATGTTTTATAATTACAGCTCCTCTGAATGTCAGGCTTCAAAATTGTAATCTAATGTCCTTGTAAAAAAAACATTTCACACAAAATTCCACACAGCCACAGTAAACCGTTTCAAAAATGATCTCCCCAAATAAGGATAAAAGAGAAGGACTTGCATCCTAGTTGAGTGGAGAGCACAACAAAGGGAACTCGGGCTAGGATCCAAATTAGAGGAAAGATGAAGATATAAAAGATCAAAACCAAGGAGGAGGACTGAGAAAAAAAAGAACAGGAATTGGCAAACACTGACATCCAGCTGTGCCACAGTGAATCAAATTTTAAAAAGGCAATAGGAACTAAAGCCAAATCGCCTGTAACTTACACAGGAAATGATGAAAAGAAGATTGAGACAGAATCAAAGAGTCAACACAGCGGAAGTGAATATATCTATATATATATATTTATATATATATATATCTTCTTTTTATTTTAATATTTAAACCCACTAAAAGTTGTCAATACAACTTTTGAATGAAAGGCACAGGAAAAATCAGACAATGCTGATATAATACTCAAAAGAAAAATTACAGTACAAAAGTGGACAGTTAGTTACGCACGTACAAATCCCTCCAGGTTCAACATCCTCCAGACAGGGGAGACATATCTGACACAACAAAGAGGGGTTGGGGGGAGGAGGGCTATTTCAAAACCAGAAATCCATTCGCCAAACTTCTCTTTATTGCTTTTCCTGACTGACAAGGGTCACGTCAGTTCCCCGGGTCTTGCAAGAAGGCCAAAAAGCAACTGATGTGCTTTCTAGTTTCCCCGCAGATGGAGTGGCTCATATTTACTTGATTATTGACCGTGATACACATCACTCCTCTGGGCATTTAGCGTCTGATTCACAATATCAAGACAGACAACCTAAATAACAGATGGAGCCAGTCGTTTTAGAAAGGAAAAAAATTCATTTATGTAAGATCTCTCATAATCCGTTACCAAATGGGCCTATATTTGTGAATATGTTTTAATTTGTCGGTCCGCCAAGTGTAAAATCAACCCAACCTCTAAGTGGTGCTGAGTGTTTAAATATTCAACAGAAATTTCTGGGCTGCAAAATTTCTAAGTGCAGGTCAGAAGCCAGTTCTAGAGCAAAGAAGTAATTTAGGATATCTTCATTCCCTTTTTTATTTTCCTCCAACATTTACTCGATAGAGCTTACTGCACTCGACACTAGTGGGAGAAGTTTGACAATAGGATTCATTTATCAATTACAGACATTTTAAAGAGAATTTGGCACTGGAAGCCAATACTTTGCTGTTTTATTGTGTTTACAGTCCTCTTAAGAATCACCTCATCTCCCACTCTCATTTAGTCAACATATTTTTTTCACCTTGTTGGAAGAAAAACATGTCTGTGCCTATCTGTCTTCGTTTGTCAATCATATGGGAGACTTAAAGAAGAGATGCCCAATCTTTGAATTGCATACTTCTGGATTAGGTTTTTATTGGGAAAAGTCTTTATGCAGACCTGCCAGCTCATATAAGATTGTGTACACATTACGGTTCCTTTGGATAGCTCTAGTTGGGAACAACTGGAGGGAAAGGTGCTGTCATTCTGTACTGCTCAGGGTTCTTAATATTATATATAGCCTCTTTGGTATAGGCACATCTGCATCGAGGGACCACCACTGTCCAATTATTCCCTTCCTTTTCCTATGTGCAGCTGTCTCACTCTCTCTCGGTTTCCTATTAAAAAGGGGAAAGAAAAAAAAAAAACGCACATATAAAAAAAAAAAAAGATGATTGCCACAATCTTGGAACCTGGAAATCAAGTGATTGATTGGAGTAGTAGGAAATTAGACTTATATAGCCGTCAAGGGTTTTCTTTTTCTCCAGCGTGAAAACCAAAGCTCCAACCCCCTGCCTCTCCTCTCTACCTTCTGTAGTTTGGCCTTCCCTGCTGCCTGACAGCAGGAGATTCATGCTACCTTCGCCTTCCCTGCAGCCATTCTACAGAGAGAGAAAAAAAAGCCATGGCACAGCAAAATTGTAAACGCACCAATCTACTTAAATTCAGCCCTGAAAAAAAGAAAACACAAAAAACAAACAAAAAAACAAACGAGTTCCTGGGGGCAGAATGAAACCGGTGTTAAGATTCAATGTTATGAAACACAACAGTTCTGATAGATTGAGTAGTGACCGGGAGGACGAATGTGGTCAGGGCTGTGCGATGTTGTTGCTGCTGTTGTTGTTGCTTGGATGCTCTGGTTTGCGGTAGCCTGGGTCCAGTGAAGGACGCGTTTGCCAGAGCCCTTTCTCCCCCTCCCCACCCCGAGGGTGGCAGCCCACCCTGGGAGAGAAGAGGTTACCTCTATCCCCTCTCTATCCTGGTTCTAACTGGAATCTCTTAGCGCCACACTCCTTTTTTTTTACACAAGAGCACAGTCAGGTAAAAGCCAGAGCTTTAACAAATCTGCTTTGAAGTTTGATTCTTACACTTACTGATGCAAGACCTCTAACACTTTCCATCTCCAGTGCACAAAGGGGGAGCGAATGACATCATGTACAAGAACCAGGATCTCAAGAGTCCGGAGATAAAGAGTACAGGATCCAGTCTGTCAGTGCGTCAGGCTAACGCCGACTCCATTCATTACCTGGCCGTGGCAGAGGAGGAAGCGGCAGCTAGCTGCGTGAGGTATTCGCGCAGTTCCTTGGCCGCCTGGAAGCGGCCGTAACGCTTTTTGGGTTTGGTGCACTCGTCCAACAGGGCCTCGAGTTGTCCATCTTTGGCTATGTGGGCAGGGGGGTCGTGGAGGAGGCCTCCAGTGGTGCCCCGCCACGTAGCGTACCGCGACAGCAGGTTCTGGCACACGGCATAGTAGTTGTGGTCCACGGTGACCCTGGAGCAGAGGGAGTCCTTAGAGAAAGACAGGCAGGCCTCTCTGTCACACTCCTCAAAGCGGCTCTCGTACCACACGTCGTAGTTTTCTGGCTTGTCTGCGGGGAGACAGAGAGAGAGAGCGGGAGTGAGACACAGACACAGACACAGACACAGACACAGACACACACACACACACACACACACACACACACACACACACACACACACACACACACACACACACACACACACACACACACACACACACACACACACACACACACCGCAGTAAAAAACCTACCGATCATAAAAAATAGTCAATAATATTAATAGAGCTGTAGGTGCACAACATTCATTTCAAATGTATAAAAACATTTATTGGATTGTAAGCTTGTTTCTTACAACCTTCAGGAGGTGAATATGTAATAAGATCTTGCAAACGTTGTCTGATCAAAACTAAACAGTCAAAATGTCCAGGGACTATTACAAAGAAATACGCATTTATATTTAGTTTTTTGCATAAAGCTTGGGAGTTCCAACCAGTTCGAGCTTGCAGCTAACATTTTAGATGGCTTCCCTGTGGAGTAAAAAAAAATTGCTTTCACCAAGATAACTGTAAAAATGTTAACAACTATGGAAAATGTGTAGCATAACCAACTATTTGACTGCGTCTGATCATGAAGAATAACTATTTATTCAAGGTTAAAAAGTATTACCAGAGAAATGAACCTGACCAGACGCTGACAAGGCTGAGGTGCCACTTTTGACATCCCACGGGCACTAGCAGGAAATTCTTTTTCAAAGCACACAGCCAAACAACTCATCTACCGTTTCATTTGACAGAAATGAACCACTTTCCAGATTTATTGAGCAAATAAAATTCTTTCTCCAGCTCATTTCACGTTGCTTTTTCTCTTTAGAGGATTGTGCTGGGAAAGGAGGGAGCCAAGAAAATAACCTGGAATGATGAGAGAGCTATTGGTTTGTGCATTAAAAAGCAGATCAATAACATTGTGGGGGGGGGAATGGAAACACATAATCAGTGTATCAGCGCTGTAATGCACTTCTCCTCTGGCTCATCAGAACAACTCAATCAAACACCCAGCGCTGCCCTGTTAGCAAGGGGCCCCTGTGGCCCCCTGAAAGAGGAGGGGCACATCAACCTCAATCAGTGTGGGTGATGAAGATGGATCTGCCTGCGTATACGTGCCATGAGCGTGCGTGCACACACACACACACACACACACACACATATATATATATATAAAGATGGGAGCGTATAAGCAGCAAGGTGAGGTGAAAGCAATTAATGTTTCAGAGCTGGCCATGCATCACACCTTAGCGTTGATTGACAGATGGCATCAGGAGAGTGTCCTATTCTTGTTCACTCGCACTCGAACGGAGACACACACACACACACACACAGTAGTCAGACACAAAGCCTAAAAAGAACAAGATGGGAAGAGAAGGTTCATACTCAAGGACGAAGATGAGCACAGCAAAAAAACTACTTTGAGACTCAACTGAAGGCTGAAACAGGTCTGAGGCCTATTTACTAGCAGCACAATCCCCTCTGTTCCACTCTTACTGCAGGCCTGAGTGTAAAAAACACTCCAACATTTCCAAAGCAAACGAAATCATTTCCAATTCAAATGAGCGGGAGAGCGGTGGACGAGGGTAGGGCTGCCTATCCCTCTCTCATCTCCTGCGTATCCGGTACCTTCCATGTTAAGGAGCTCAGGTCGGACTTGTATACATTCACCTCACTCCCTCCTTCCCAGGGCTACATTGAGAAGGGACACTGGGCCTGAAATGCTTGTTAGCGTGGCCTTACTACTGGCATTCAAGAGTACGAGCTAGTTTTAACAATGCATGCCTGTGTTAGCGTGCATTATTGAATGTGAGAGAAAGAGAGAGACAGAGAAAGAGAGACTGTGAGTGTTTCAAGTGCTGTTGCAATGGTGTGTGTGTGTGTGTGTGTGTGTGTTTGTGCAAGCCAGCGAGCGACCGTGTCGGGAGAGAAGAGAATGAGAGTGAGTGAAGTGTGTGTTACATTAAACAGCATGTGTTTCCAAAAACCACTGGGGGTGAAACCATCCTCAAATGCTATAAACTCAATGATGGGGAATGGTTCCTTTCGCACCAGTGGACTGTGCAAACACATGACGCACGGCACCACTTGAGCACGGCGTGCGTTTTTATCTCCCCGAAAACCCCGGCGCATCAATATGGATGCCACTAACGAGTGGGTGGAACTGCGCGTGGCTTTCTGCGTGTTTGATTTGCAAATCAATTGGCCTCAGTTTAGACTGATGAGATTGGCACCGCGCACTTTAGCTGGCTTTCAATCTCAGGCTCTAATTGTAGGGATTGGATTCTCTGCTTGTGGAGCCTTGGGAGGTTACCGCGCCTATTTCCTACTGCTGTCCGACACATGGCCGTGACCTCGTAATGCTCATTACCGCCGTCATCCCTCTTTCTTCCTGCTGCGTCCCGGCACTTGGCACGCACAGACACACAAACAGATCCGACACACAAACATGCGAGAAGCACGTAAACATTCTTGAGGCTTAAACTCTGAATGGCCAGGGTAAGCAGCTTGAGTTGTCAAGCTCCAAATGTGTCAGCCAGACAAAGGCGGTCTCAACCTGGATTGTGCTTTGGGGCTACTGTGACAGGGTGGAAAATTGAAGCTACTGGCAATAAGGTGAATATATACACTTTTGAGCATGGTGCACACACAGATCCGACACACAAACCCCAACATAATCACACAGGAATTGAACTCGAGGGGAAAAACTACAGGGCATGTCAGAGTACCTTGACATGTTGTACATCTATTTGCGGTTTTCTGGTGTCAGATCTTGTAATTTGGCAAAGCGGCACTTTATCACAGGATAAATTCATCACAATACTTCCCCTCCAACCACGTACATACACACACTCCCTTTCACACGCATGCACACACACACACACACTCCCTTTCACACACACACACACACACACACACACACACACACACAAGTTCATATCTGTCACAGGGTACAATGGTGGAACCTCAGTACCTAACGACACAACAGTTTATCACTTTAATAGGATTTCTGCAGTAAGGGACAAATCTAAGAGCCTGGCTGGGTGGCCGTCCCTCTCTTTGAAGTAGCCCTGGGAAGGGGGACGGAGGGGTAGGAACCTGCCACACCGAGTGTGTGATGTATAGCTTTCTCTGTCCTTGTTATGAGGTTTATTCTGAGAGGCAAAAAAAAAAAAAAAAAAAAAACTAGGGCAGCGGAGATGGCTTGTTATCCAAAAGATCTATGCTTTGATGGGGACGAGCGTGTCGGAGGCAGAAGGGGTGCTGGAGGAGTGTATTCTTAGAAGAGAGGAGGCTTCGAGCATGTGCAGATTTGCCCACAGCCGCCTGTCTCTCGAGACCTTTCCTCGACCCTTCGTTGCTGCCTCATAAGCTACAGTTGGCAATTATAGTTCTGACATAAGAGTGCGCTGTTTTCTAGAGAACCCAAGCTGTGGTCAGTGTTTGAATCGCACTCTGGCTTTTGAGGAAGTCTGTGATGAACAGTTTGAGGACTGTGGAGGAACAACCACTGCATGACTAGACATGTTATGAATAAAATTAATGGTTAATTATCCCTTTTACAGTTTTAGAGAAGCAATCTTACAGTATAAAAAACACCTAACGACAGCTGCATAATTTGAGTGTGAAGTAGTTGAAGTGTTAATGTAAATACTATACTGTGCAAATAAACAGCATTTATCTTCTTATATAGCTCCAGAGCAAGTAATGCTTAAAGGCGTGACACACATGCATGTTTGCGAACAAAGAATTGTCATGGCAACTGGAGAAATGAGCTGCACTAGGCATAACTCGCAGACATATGGACATACACCCACGCACGGCGAGCGCATGTGTTCAGGTAATGATGGAAGCCACTACTCACTCTGCTTGATCAACCTTTTGTCTGCCACAAGAACATTCTCCGCGTCAACAACTATGACCTTCCCGTCGCGTGGGCCGACCGCAAAGTTGTCAAAGCTGACATCGAGCAGGTAGAGGGCAAACTCAAAGTCGTTGTTGGTGAGCTGCTCGGCGATGTCCATCAGCTGACGCGCCAAGTCTACCCTCTTCTCCCAGGGTGCGTTGTAGAAGCTCCACAGCTCCTCGCCCACGTAGTTGACAGCTACCATGCGCCCACATGCTCCCAGGTACTTGGCGAACGGCCACCCTTCGTCTGACGGAAAGCTCTGGGAAGGAGAAACAGATGAGACCACAAATGATTTAAAAACATAGATAAAAAGAGGTCAGGCTGTGTAATGTAGAGTTGGCTGGAAGAAAGACAGAAATACCCAACTGGCTTCCAAAAGCAGAGGCTAACAAATGAATGGTAAGAACCTTCACATTGTTAGAAAAAAAATTGTTAAACAGAAATCAGTTTCTCAATAAAGAGAGACAAAAGACAAAAATCCCAGATGCCAAACACAGAGTTGCCTTGTGCAGACTTGAGTAATGTTTGATACACAATTCTAAGCACAATAGTTGAAAATCTGCCAAAGGATCATATGAAACAGAGCCAGCACTGGGTATAATGGATTAAATTTAATAAAAGAAAAGAGCAGGTTTGTGTTAAAGCCCTACAGCTATGAGCTGATGTACGCTGCTGTACGCGGCTGTACTCAGTGCTTCCAGAGAACTGATAGGAGGTGATTTGTGGTAGCAGCAGTTAGCAGGAAAGCCTCATGTGTTGTGATGCAGCAGTGGGGCGATTTAAACTGCTGCATGACGTTGGCTAACCAAGTTAATGCAGTTTGGGCAAGCTGACAAGAAATCGCTGTGTATTACAGGTTAAAACTGATTAATAATAAAGTAATACCGTTAGTAAGAAGTGGTATCACGGCACAATACCCTAATCTCACTCCGATTTGCTCAACTTTATTGAGGTCAAACAAAAACAGGCACACATGCGCAATCATCTGCCATCAGTCAAGACAAGTGGTTCCGTCTGTGAAGGCGAACACACACAATCACAGACAACTTAAATGAGTGTGAAGCAGCTGCATAGATTGGCAAACGTGCACGGCTGCTAAGGGACTGGATTCTGTGTATCACTTTACTGCTTCCATCTCTCTTCATGAGCTCTTCATGAGCTCTAGTGTCTCACACTTTCCCTACATCACTTTCTTTTCTCCTGGTCCATTTCACTGCCACAGGCTGTCACAACGGGTGGACAAATTAATGGAAAATAATAGAATGAGATCCGCCCCCCCCCTTTTTTTTAGCAGCCCACACGAGTTCTGTGACACGTGATAAGCTTCCATATTTCACAATAAACCCCCCCTGCCATTGGCTTCTATCTTTTACAATAAACACCCGGCCATATGCTAGCTTAGTGATAGCCCACAGTTCCTATGTAACAAATCTCTCCTAGGCTGCTGGTTCTGGCAGGCAGCCGCCGCACAGACACAGAGAGAATCAGGAGTGCTCATGTTTCACAGGAGCGTCTGTAGCCCTCCCTTTCAGAAACCCAGTTGCATCGGAGATATGGCAGGGAATGCGCCATGTCACTGCAGGTAAGGTGTGAACTGCTATGACTGTTGCGTTTCACGTTACACTAGTGGTAATTCAATACTTCGCCAGCCTTCAATTTCTGTCGAAATGGAGGATTTTAAATATGCATGGCTGCCCTAACTTCCTTTAAACTTTAATGAAATACAAATTATTTAAAAACATACATTTAACCCCCCCTCCCCCTCCCGCCAGCCATGCAGCTGCTGTATCTCAAAGACAACAGCTGGACCCCTGCCACATAGAGACTGTGGCACTGAGTGGGGCGTATGTGACAAAGAAACCATGGTTCTGAGCGGATGACTATGCAGCGACTTGCAGGTTCACTAGTGCACCACTGACTAGTGTGGAGACATTTGTATCTTAGACGCTCCTCAAATTATGCTGTTCTTAAGTTCCTTTATTAGGCTATAAAGTGTATTGAAGGCCAAAGCATATGGACCCCCCCCACCCCCCCCCACTGTGCTATAGTAGAAGATGTATCAAGCTGAATTCAATTCTGAGTGAAGCTAAGGATACCTAGGGGTCATTGACTGGACAAACAACCTTGGAATAATCTCAAGGATGAAAAATCAAGATCTTGATGCAATAATTATGACTCAACTTTCTGCAATCTTATCAGAAACAGAGAGGCAGACTTTTACAGTCTATCACAGTCTGTTTTAGTGCTGTAAATCTACACCTTAGGCGTATCTCTTGTTCCCATCAGTTTTAAGAAACATCCACCACCAAGAGGGGAGGACAATGATAAGTTGCATGCAATGCAGTTTTGGTTGAGCCCATTTCCCTGAGGTGACCCAATCAATTGTGGGCCAGACAAAAGTCTGTCCAGGAAGCACTACTGGCTTCCAGCAGCCTGTCTGTCTGTCTGTGCTTGTCATGCTTAGACTTGGCAATGACTCACCCCAACTTTCCCCAAAACTCTTGGCTTAATAGCCTTCCTCCACATTTTCTGATAGAGCAATCTTGACAGGAATAGGAATCTGAGGAAGCAGACATGTCTCAAAAAGTGAAAAAAAAATCCAGCGGATGCTGGGAAACAAAAGATAATAGTGGGCTGAATGACCTCCCAAATACTGAGTCCTGGCTGGGAAGGAGACAATCCCAGACTACTGAAATGTTGCTAGCCAACAAGGCAATCCTACATGAGAGATTCTGGGATTAGAGACTAAACAGGCTAAATATCTAAAATGGCTTTCTAATTTCTGAAGTTGGTATGGAACGATTAGGTTGAAGCTGGATCAGTTGGTGGTACATCCCTATTAGGCCCGCTTCCCTTTGACCCAGATTCAAACCTCAGATCGTTTTATGTTACTGCAAATCTAAGCGGCTCTCGGCCTTGTTGACAAAACTTAGCATGCCCAGTGTTACGGCTAAACCTGCTTTGTAAAAACACCATCCTCCCTCTCTCACCCCTGCCAGGCGGATGGATGGTTGTGAGGGAGGGGTGGTGGTGGAGGTGGGGGGTGGGGTTCGATGGAGACAGCAAACAGAAGAGACAAACAGAGTGTCTTTCACTTCTCCGCTCCAGTGGACAGGAGGATAAAAACTGGCAAAGACCTGCCTGCTAAACACATCTCTCTCTTTGTTGTCAGGTTGCAGCCTGAATGGGAGCAAAAGTAGAGCGACGGCAGATGGGGGGGGATGGCTGATGGGAGGGAGGAGAAGGATGAATGCCCTAAGGCTACTTTCAGACACTGTCAACGACTGTTATGAGAACGCCTTCATGTCTGCCCGGCCCTCGTCCGCAGTTCTTAACATAGATGTCGCTCATTCACTTCTCTCGCTGACAGGCTCATTGCGCTGCATCAATTACCGGCTGTCTGACGACTCATACCTATGTGCCATCTTTATGAGCTTCCTATATTTAAGTTTCATATGCAAAGTCTGAAGGTGAGAACTACTGTACAGTGTAGGCAGGCACATGGGAGTGAACACCTGAGCTTTGGATTCACCTATTGCAGAGGTTGATAAATACTCCACGTGTCCCACCAATCATTCTCCCTTAGCGCTCTTTAAACGGTTACTCTGCAGAAGTCATTAAAGTCTGCAATGAGGCGTTGAGGGGGGGAATAAATTGGAAAGCCCAGCCTAATGTTACATCCACCGCACTATCTCCGAGCAGAAATGGGAGGTACTGTTATGTGTGTGCGCTTGTATGTGTGTGTACTGCACAGGTAGTGAATTTTACCAGTTCAATTCCCAATAATGTTATGCTATTGAAAAATGCTGACGGTGCAGAACTGCCAATGACACATCCCAGCGACTTTTACTGCTTTACAGCTCTTATCACTTTCTTGTTCATGTCATTGGATAAAAACCTTTTATGTCCTGCTTAGCAAAACCTTTAACTTGTAGAACTTTATGCCAAATCCTCTTCTTATTTTCTCAAAAAAAGAGAAAAAAAAAGAAAAAGAATTTCTTGCAGTGTTACAGAAATAATGAGGCCTGGCTCGAGAGACAATGAACACGAGGGTAGAAAACAGACCAAAACAGAATAGTCTCATTAAAGACGACCTCACAGTGACTTCTAGGCCCAAGTCTAACTAATCTAATCTTAAAGGTTGTGCCGGTGCCCGGTAGTAGCATTGACTGATGGGGGGGGGGGGGTTGTGTTTTCCACTCCCCTCCCTGTAATACTACAGACACACTGGCATCCTCTTGGGGGGAGATTGGAGTGGGCTGAAATGAAACAGGGCCACAGACAAATGGGAAGCCTCTGGAGAAGAGGATGAAACGAATGGAGCAAGAGGCACAGGAACACACACCTGCGTCCTGACATCTGCTGACAAAGGCATGCCCTTCTACTAGGCCACTCGGGGGAGGGCGTCGGCGTGTGCGTGTGTGTGTGTGTGTGTGTGTGTGTGTGTGTGTGTGTGAGAGAGTGAGAGAGTTCGAAAGAGGCTCTTTGTGCGTGTGTGTTTGTGTGTCTATGCGAAACTGTATCCAAGTGCATGTGAATGAGAACATGCAACGTGACCAGGGCTGATAACAACCTCTATTCAGGGGCCGAGTAAACATGAGCGGCTCCCAAGATATTGCCTTGGCTGGCCTGCAAAGAACACTGTTCAATCAAACACACACATACCGTATACATAGAGAGACGCACACACGCGCAAATACAGCGGGCACACAGAGCTGTGTGTTGCCTTCTTCCTGAAACCACAACTACTTAAGGCAAAAAGGAAATTAGTAGTTTGCCACAGAAGTGTTTCATGTGTGCAGCTTGTTAAAGCCCTGAGCAGGGTGTGGTAGAAATTCTCAACATTTTCTGTCCTCAACAAAACCCCAGCGCTTCATAGCAAACAAGTCAGGACAGGACTCGTCAGGAGTCCGGAGATCAAAAGGTACAGTTGAGGAAGCGTGGCGGACAGACGGATTCAGTCAGACAACAACAGCAAAAAAAAAAAAAAAACCCTCAACAACCCTGATGTTGCAAAGTGAACATTATTCAGCCCGTTTATCAAAGGGGCTTAGCGTTAAGAAGGAGTCACATCTGCTCTGCAAGGTTGGGGCTGCCAAGCTGGACTTAAAAAAAAAAAAAAAAAACATGTCGCTTTTCTGTGCAGCTCTCCCGTTGACCTTATGTGTCTGGAGGATGTGTGGCGAGCCCCGTCTGGCATTTTGCTGGCCATTTAAGTTTAAAATCCAGTTGCTTGGTCTCCGCAGCAAGAGCTCAGGC